ATGGGATTTTGGCACTTTTTTCAATTAATTCTTTTTTTTTCAGGCAAGATGACTTACAGCAATAAGACATATATATTCTTATAGTAAATTGAACGCTCTACAAAAAAGGTCTCTTATAATTTTTCGATTAAATTACTCGTTAAAAAGTTATTCGAGGTGAAAGTTAAACTCTGTGTACATTTTCTGATTTTTTTTTTACTTTTACGGCAAAGTTATTATTATTTCGATGAAAGTTATTAGTATATTTCTGAAAATAGATAATTCTGATGGTATTAGGGTATACAATTTTTAAACCTGGAAAATAATAGACTGCATAACAGGTAGCTGGTTCAAGTTTTAATCATTTTTGAGACTTTATTTATACACACAGTCAACTAATTTTTATTGAATTTCAAGTTTTGTATACTTTTATGAAATTTTCCTTCAATACAGTAAGTGACTCAAAATTACTCTTACAAGCATTCCCGCCAACACACGGAATTTTTATTGACGCAAGCGCGCTAAAGCGCATTTAGTACCTTGACGGCGCTTTAAGTCCTTTTAGTATTGTATATTTGTTATATTGTATACAAATATCTCTGCATATTGTTGTGAATGTTGTGTCGTACATTAACAGTAGTTATTTATATAATAAAACTTATTTATTATACACAAAAAACAAAATTTAGAATTAAAGCAATTTTTAACATATAGGTAAATAAAAACTTTAAAATTAAATTTATATTTAAAATCTCATTGGAATTAAAATTTCACAAATAGTTCTAACCTATAAAAATTTAGGTTCAATGGATCTAAGACAAAATATATTTTTGATTGGAAAACAATAAGTTCAATTACTGGCAAAAAGTTACCAACAAATAAAGAAGTTTTGTAACTACTGTACCATCACTCAAGAAATCGCAATAAATCTATTGATGACAGCTGTTCAATCGTTATACGTGAACTGAGGAATTTGGAGTGAAGCAGTTATTCAAACTAAAATTAATTCACGTTGCATAACAAAATTAAAAAGTCTCTACGCAGAATACAGAAATGTACAAAAACATCTTAACCAAAAAAATAAAACAAAAGATCAAGATTTGTCAAATAAACTCGAACAATTATTTGACATTGCTCACGGTGACGTTTTTAAAATGATTGACGAGGAGACAAAACAATTTTTAATTGATCAAAGAACTCGACGGATTTTTCATATAAATGTTGCTGAAACAAATAATGAATTATTGCATTTGTTATGCAACGCGAATTAATTTGAGTTGGAATTACTGCTTCACTCCAAATTCCTGTCACTTCACGTATAACGATTAAACAGCTGTCATCAATAGATTTATTGCGATTTCTTGAGTGATGGTACAGTAGTTGCAGAACTTCTTTATTTGTTGGTAACTTTTTGCCAGTAATTGAACTTTTTTCCAATCAAAAATATATTTTGTCTTAGATCCATTGAACCTAAATTTTTATAGGTTAGAACTATTTGTGAAATTTTAATTACAATGAGATTTTCGTAAGTAATATCATAAGGGCATTTAATTTTTCCGAAAAAAATCGAAAAAACACGTTGCTAAGTAATATTTTAACAAAAAGCATGAGTGCTGGTGGCAACAAAAATCCGAGTCGAAGAGGAGGATTTTTGCACCTGCACGAATGCATTTTGTTAAAAAATATTACTTAGCATTGTGTTTTTTCGATTTTTTTCACAGGAAAAATTAGATGCCTGAATGGTATTTGACAAGACTATTTCATGAGTAACAGTAAACAATTAAAATATAAATTGCAATTTTTGTTGACAACAGCTGTCACGTTTTGCCGCGGGTAAACTCGAATAAACTGCTGACAGGTGCTGTCATACAGTTTTTCCACCTAGAAACCATTTGTAATTCAAAATTGCGCGTTTGTGATTGGTCGAAATTAGGACGAGGGAAATAATCAATATAAATTTAATTTTAAAGTTTTTATTTACCTATATGTTAAAAATTGCACTAATTCTAAATTTTGTTTTTTGTGTATAATAAACAAGTTTTATTACATAAATAACTACTGTTAATGTACGACACAACATTCACAACAATATGCAGAAATATTTGTATACAATATAACAAATATACAATACTAAAAGGACTTAAAGCGCCGTCAAGGTACCTTGACTAAATGCGCTTTAGCGCGCTTGCGTCAATAAAAATTCCGTGTGTTGGCGGGAATGCTTGTAAGAGTAATTTTGAGTCACTTACTGTATTGAAGGAAAATTTCATAAAAGTATACAAAACTTGAAATTCAATAAAAATTAGTTGACTGTGTGTTATAAATAAAGTCTCAAAAATGATTAAAACTAGAACCAGCTACCTGTTATGCAGTCTATTATTTTCCAGGTTTAAAAATTGTATACCTTAATACCACCAGAATTATCTATTTTCAGAAATATACTAATAACTTTCATCGAAATAATAATAACTTTGCCGTAAAAGTAAAAAAAATCAGAAAATGTACACAGAGTTTAACTTTCACCTCGAATAACTTTTTAACGAGTGATTTAATCGAAAAATTATAAGAAACCTTTTTTGTAGAGCGTTCAATTTACTATAAGAATATATATGTCTCATTGCTGTAAGTCATCTTGCCTGGGAAAAAAAGAATTAATTGAAAAAAGTGTCAAAATCCCATGTAATTTGAATGGGAAATGTATCCTCTTTGGGGCAAGGTTTATTATGAATATTAAAAGTTAATTTTGGTCTGAAATTTTTTTTTAGACGATAGACTAAAAATTTAGGGGGCGTTGTAAGAAAAAAAATCAACTTGGTAAATAACGGACACCCTAGTATGTATGTATACACAAAGATAATACACCCCATAGATTGGAAACTCTCCCACCGCTGCCCTCTAGTTCTACAATACCTGAACTATATCTATTTTTAAATTGCAGACATCTGTACAAACGCTATTTGCAAATGTCAATGTCAATCATAATCTTTGAATTATTAAATACATTTTTGCGCCTTAAAAGTGATAAAACGTGTTAATGGTTGTGATATGTATTGAGGTTGGGCGCGGAAATGTAACCAATTTGTAAGTATTGACTATCCTGCCGTCCTAAGCCAAAAAGACTCATCTCGTTATTATTAAATTATTCTCTTAGAAAAAAAGACAAATTTTAACTATACATACATTTTTAAGTACTATAGCTCCTAAAAATTTCTTATTAAATTGATCGTATCTTGGAAAAAAAACAATAAAGCGCTATAATTTATAAAGTAAAAATGTGGAGTTGCGTCTTTTTGGCTTAGCACGGCAGTATCGCTCTAGCGTAAAAATACTCTTTGTTAATTATGAATTATTTAGGATTGCTTTTTTAATGGTAATTTAGTCCAGGCCAAGCCCAGGCTACTTATGGTTGTTTCAAAACCAATAGTTGGCAAGATAGATTTTTCACGGTTGGTTAGAACTTGCCAAAAGTCCACACTCAAAAGCCTTGTACAAATTCCTATATGTTAAAACTCGTATAAGGAGCTAAATTACCAAATTTTGCAATATTCTCTTATTATTGAAGAATTAAGATTAATATTTTTTAGGTTTGCACTCCACAAACAAAAACATATTCATGTATACAGATTATGTATATATAGATGTATGTATTTTATTTTATATTATATTGTTAATACAATAAATAAATCTTATATCCATACTTGTTTTATTTAAAATACAGCAGTAAATACAATATATAAAGGCACCCTACGAAGAATCAATATTCAAATATGGCGCCAATATGTTACAGAAATCTATTTCAATTTTTGGCATTGCTAAGGGTATTGTAGAACTAGATGGCGTTAATTTACTTTAGCCTTTTGCCGCTAGCGCTAGTGTAGTTTCCAATCTATGGGGTGTATTATCTTTGTGTATACATACATAAATACATAGGTATGTATGTATGTATACTTACATACATACATAGAAATGTATGTATGTATACATACCGAGCAAAAAATTTCCCTGCAAGGCAAAATTTTTTGCTCAATTTTAAAAGGTGTCGGTGAGCATTCTTAGTTTTCCATTGAAATAACACGTAAAAAAATCTTTTTTCATTAAAAAGACTATAACTTTTGAACCGCTTGAGATAAAATTTTTTACGTCGCGGATTCTTGTAGAGCATAAAATTTCCCAAAGAATCTATACCAGGATTATTTTTTTTTAATTAAAAAATTCGTATGTTTGTCAACATTGTTTGAAAGCTTTGAAAAGTGTAAAAAATAGCTAAAACTGCAGTTCACACTCAAGAAGGGCTTCAGACAGAAGGGTGCCAAGAAGTTTTGACTCTATTGATTTGAATTATAGGAAGAAATAAATATTTAATAATTTAATTATTTTTTTTAAATAAAAGAATACGTTATTTTTAGAAGTTTAAAAGCATTATTAGCTATATTTTAATTACTTAAAACCTTTAAAACGTTTTGGCGATGTAGCAATGCATAAACAAGACGTTTTAAATTGGTAGTCTTTAACATCTTAAAGACGTCTTAACGACGTTTAGCAACGACTTAATAATGCAGTTAAAACGTCATCTTAAAAAAGATGTGTTTTGTAACATTAGATATCTTAAAGACGTCTTAAAGATGACTTACGTCATAAACTGGAAGCCTTTAAGATGTCTCTGTGTGCATATTGCTAAATTCAGAATTTCATGATCCATTCGAATCTGCAAAAAATAGGGGGTACAACGATTACATTAAAGTTTCTACAAAAATGGCGGAAAATATGAAAATTACACATCACAATTTTGAGAAAAAAAGCCGAATGTTTCAATGAATTTGATCCATACTTTTGCCTGTCACTGTACATTATATTATATTATACAGAATTAGGTTTATTGATTCACTGTTGTTGGGGTAACATACCTACCCCTTAGTGAAATATAAATAGCACCCCCGTATACATTTGTTTGTTGCAAAATAGGTGTAGGTAAAACTTCTTAATTTAAGGTCCCTGTGATATTTTATGCAACAGCACCAGATATGGAAAAGAAGAAAAAAATTGACGAGGCCATCAAAATTCTCGACCAATTTCTGGACAATCAAATTTGGGTTGCAGGACAGTACATTACGATTGCAGATTTTGCCATCATATCCATAATAGCCACTGCCGAGGTAAAAATGATTTTTACATTTTACAATTTTTCGCAAAACTCCTTTAAACTTCTTCTGTTAGTTGCCAGGATAATTTTAACGAGGTCTATCCCTTGTTTGAACCTTATCCCACAAGTTCTCAATTGGATTAAGATTCGGTGGATCAGTTAATAATATTGTTTTTATTATAATAATAGATGTCTTTTAAGTTTATAAACATAAAACCGAGATCTTAAAAATATACTTAAGACAGGTATAACATATACATAGATCCACCATAAATTTTAGACGGAAGAAATTGTTAAGAATCGCTGCCTCTGTATAGGTGAAATTAATTTAAAAAAACCCTTAGGGACCGAGATAATAAAACTATTTAAAAACCACTTAGGTAGGTATACCTAATCATTTTTATTAATATTAATTCAATCTTTTAGGCAATGGGCCAATGGGACTTTAGCCATTACCCAAATATTTGGACATGGTATCAGAGATGTAAAAATGCAATGGCTGGTTTTGGTTATGAAGATGTTAATCAAACAGGGGCCAACGCTTTTGGAAATGCATTTAAAAATAATCTTAAGGGTTAAAAAAATCTACATACCTATATACATTTTTTTATATTTCAATTATGTTATACTTTCTATAGATCAATAATCAAACGGGAATCTATACCAAGGATTTTACACAAAATCCTTGAATCTATACAGCATGCTTTTATAACAGGGTTGACTATCCTGTCACACGTATCCTTGGTATGGCTTTAGTGCGTCCTTTTTGGCACACCCTGTATAGATAATCTAGCAAGCACAAAACACTACCAATGTTTAGTTTTTTTCTTAAATATTATGTAGGAGGGTACTTAAATTGTTAGATACATACTTTTTTACACAAATAATTTGTTATAACAGTTTATAATACATATTACAATAAAACTTGTTGGTTTCATTTAAATTCATGAAGCACTTACCATCTACAAACTGCCAATAACTAATTTTCACAAATCACACACTAAAATCCTTTAAAGTCAGTTAAAAACAAGAAAAAATACGATTTTTAACAGGAATTTTTTAAATGACGCTTTTCAAAAAACAAAAACAAATCGCACTCATGCGCAAACGATTCCACAGCCTACTGGATTTATCGAATTTGATCTACTTACTTGATTAATGTCAATGGTAACATGCAATTAATATTAAATATTTGTTATTTACCCTATATTATTATTATAATTATTTAATCCACGGGGTCTTTAAATATTACAAATTACAAAAATATTATAAAATATTTATATATGATAGTATGCAACCAAGATGACATTGCATTTAACTTAAAATGGGACGTTTTATTTTTACAGGAACCTGTAATTATTTACATAAAAATAACCTAAAAAGCGAAGTTAAAATAGGAAATTGTAATTTAATGGCAATGAAACTTGATTAGAGTATGTAATATATTTATTGAACGATAAAGTAATAAAGATCAACAACGCATTATTAGGGAATATCCCAAATATCTTAAAGTTACGTCATTGGACGTCATTCAATGTCACTTGAAGGGAGATAACCTAACTTTAACAGTTGAATCTAGATATCGTTGCTGCGACCTCCAATCACCTTGACTGTATTCGTGAGTAACCAACTGTGTTTTAATAAGTTTTTTCAATTAAAAAAGCATCCAATGGAAAACCTTTATTGTAACATAACATTCTTGTTTTTAGAGAACAACAGAAAATGGCATCTATCACATCAAGCAAGACTTTGCTGAATCTGGCAAACCTTAACTTGAGAAATGTTGCCCGAAGGAGCCTTTCGACATCAAATGTGGTCGCAACAAAACAAATGACTGTTAGGGATGCTTTAAACTCAGCCTTGGACGAAGAAATCGAACGGGACGAAAGAGTTTTTCTGATGGGTGAAGAGGTGGCTCAGTATGATGGCGCTTATAAAGTTTCCAGGGGGTTGTGGAAAAAATATGGCGACAAGAGGATTATTGATACGCCCATCACAGAAATGGGTTTTACAGGTATGAATTTATTGTTTTATGATTTGAAATCGTTTTTTAGTTTCTGATTTTGACTTTGTTGTTAAAATTTGACAAACAATAATTTGCCAATATTTATAAGCTTAAAAAATAAAAATTGCAGGTTTTTCAGTACTTGTGATAAGTTTTAAAAAACCAACACAATTTTTCACAAGAACTTTCAGATTTGAGCAATGTTGCCAGATGTAAAATATTTACACTCTTTAGGGAAGTTTTATACATTCAAAATAAATGAATAAAAACGCGTTTTAGAATGTTAAAAACATAATTAAGAATGTAAAAACACATTTTAAAAGGTCAAATATAAAAATTTCAATTTTAAACCATAGGAATTTCAAAAACTATTAAAATATTTCAAAACTACCACATTTAAAACAAAATAACAATTAAAGAATTTAAAAAAACAATTTACTGTTATTTATTTATCAAACTTCAGGGGAAAAAACAGTAAGAAGCAGCCAACAGGAAAAAGGGCAGGATTTTTTAAAACCATAGAGTTTAAGGGAAAACTAAAAAAACGGTTGATTGTATTGGTAAAAAAACTATTTTAATTTAAAATTTTCAAAGAAATATTGGAGGATTTTATATCCTTGGATGGACTAACCTAATTACACTTTTTTCTGCAAATTTATTGCGTTTCGCTGTTATTTCGTTTATAATTTGACATTCGGCCCATTTCAAGTATACGGACGGGACAAAATTGTCAAATATACCTATTCTTCTTTTATTGTGTGGATTGTGGGCTATACATTAAATAAAAAAAAACGCAAGAAATATTTTATAAAAGTAGAGATAATTCTAAAAATTATCTACTTTTTTAAATATTTCTTGTCTCATAAAAGAATTTTCACATTTGGTATTATTTTATTGTGGGTACTTTATTTTAACGATTTTATGACATTTGAAAACTGTCATTAACTTAAAGGTAACTTCAGCCCGTGGCTAAAAACCTGTTGCTAACTTCATCCCAACTAAAACGCCATAAAGCCACAACTAGTCAATGTGTATTTAAAAGGTCACTTACTGTCATGGAAATATGTACAATAATGGGCGTTTTAAAGGTGGGAGTAGAAAAAGGCGTTTTAGTCACTGGCTGAAGTTAGTTTTAAGTTGTCAAATGTCATACAATCGTTAAAATAAAGTGCCTTTTTTATAAATATTAATACTAATACTAAATGTGAATACTAATACTAAATGTGAAAATTATTTTATTATTTCAGTACTAAAATGTAAAAGTATTAAATAGTTTCTTGATGCCAATATATATTTGTACTGACCTCTTGATTTCGCCATAGTAGTGCAGTTAACTAGATTTAATTGATAAAGCGTTAAAAATTAAAACTGCTTCTATGTTTATTGCATCCCATGGGATGGTTACTTTATTTTCGTATAGATGTGGTTTTATAAAAATAATTAATTTAAATCATTTTTTAAATAATATTAACTTAATATTATTAAGTAATTGTCGTAGAAAAAGTATAGTACTCGTTTATAAATTTTCATTTAATTAAGCACCCGCTCACAAGCTTAAATTAAATTCGTGACTAAAATGGCGTTTATCAAACTTGATACATAATAATATTATACACTGAGAGAAAAGTATAATGCTGATTACCATAATTATAATACCCTTTACTATAATTTTTATTACTATTTGGGACAACTATCTTGTATATTGCCAGATATGTAGTATATATATATAGTATATACTATGCATATTTAGTAATTTTTAAATATCCATGTATGTTAAACCTTAAGTTAAAATATTATTATTCTTAACCAATTTTGTTTTTAATTCTTATTATAATTAGATTTTTTCTATTACTAATAAGTATAGTAAATTTTAAAATATTATGTTGCCATTTTAAATATAAAATATTTTAAAATCGAATTTTTTTTATATGTTAACAATTAAAAATTGTAACATATTTATTGTACTTTTTAATATACAAAAATGTTATGAGAAAGAATTGAACCTACACCTCACCAAAGTTTCTTGTTTTGAGTGCGTTCAAATACCGACACACAGGTGTTTTGACCTATATTGGGTATCATCAGTGTCGACACGACACTGTCGAGCAACTTGTAGTAGTGGAACCACAGACCTACAAACTTGTTTGTAGGTCTGTGAGTGGAACACACCCAAAACAAAGAAATACCTGAGCTTATATAACATGGTTGTTAAGCCAACAGAGGCGATATGTAAGAACATCACGTGATCCACACCGTCTAAGGACGGGTCGCGACGTGGCCTTTGCCGCAATTGGTACATACTATGCAATTCTTTCTTATAAGTAAAGGGTGTATCAATAAGAGCGCAAGATTTGAATTTCGCCTCAGTTTGGCAACCATGATGTCACATGATTAATGACATGACAGATTGATAGGAGACAGATGGAAGTTAGTAAATATACACGATAGAACAACCCGTCCTGATTGTTAAACACTATTATCAAAATGATGAAAGTTTGATTGCCACGATTCGTAAAGGGCGTCCAATATTTTTCGAAATAATGTTCCTAATTCATCTACTGTGAAAAGAATAATCAAAAAATTTGAAAGCACTGCTTCGGTTAGTGATGTGAAACACACGACACGAGCTCGTTCAGAACAAAATGTCGCAGCAGTTCGCAAGAGTGTGGCCGAGAGTCTAGAGACGTCGATTTGCCATCGTGCACAAGAATTGGACATTACAAAAGCCACTCTTCAGCGAATTCTTACTTAAGATTTGCATCTTCATGCCTACAAAGTCCAATTGACTCAACAACTCCAGCCAAAAGACCATGAACAGCGAAGAGAGTTCACCAATTGGATCCTTAAGCAGCAAGAAGTGAATGCCGATTTTGCGGATAAAATCATTTTTAGTGATGAGGCCCATTTTCACCACTATTTAACACCCTTGGACTTTTGGCTGTGGGGTTATTTGAAGTCACAAGTTTATGCCAACAAGCCCGCCACTATCGAAGCCTTAAAAGCAGAAATTAGACGCTCTATCAACGAAATACCGCCACATGTATTCAATAATGTTATTGCAAATTTTGCCAAAAGAATACGCTTGTTAAGCCGTGGTGGCCATTTACCAGATGTGTTATTTTATACTTTAATACTTAAAACCATGTTTTACTAAACTTTGAAATCTTGCGCTCTTATTGATACACCCTTTATTACCAGTAATGGGTCAAAAAAGTTTATTGAAGAAACTAAGAAAATTGAATGTTTAAAATGTCATGAGTTACTATATTGTATATTATATTTAAATATATTGTTTATTTACCTTAAACATAAAAGTATCTTTATTTTTACTATATTTTTTATTAATGTGTATTTGATTAAATCATATAGTTAATATTACTATTTGTAGATAGTAAAATCAATTTACTATACGAACATATTAAAAATTAAAATATATATTATACATTTATAATTTAGTAATATTGGTGTTGTAATCTTTACTAAAATTGTATAATAAAAAATAGTATTTTGTATTACAATCTTAATATTGCATTGACGAATATATAATATTTTTACCCTAAAAATTTGTTAAAGTAAATTTTACTATATTTTTTTACTATCTAAAATTTACTATACGTTTCTCTCCGTGTACAACATATAGACCAGTGCAGAAGCCTTTAAAAATGGTAAAAAGAGAAAAAAAAATAACAGTAGAATGAAACCCATTGGAAAAGGAGGGGAATAAAAATTAAAGAAAAAATAAATTACGGGCGATCTGAGTTCGGGAAGTGGGAGGGGGGGTTTAAGGGTAAAAAATGGTTTATCTCGAATTCCGGCAAAACTACAAGTCCTATGGAAAAAAGTTAAATGTCAAAGTTGTAGGTAATAAAAAGATCTACAACTTTTGTATTAACAATTTTTTCACATAACCTCAAAATTTATGTGAAAAATTCAAAAAACCAAGTTTTTGGTTTTTTATTTTTATCTTTTTCAAAAAAAAAAAATTTTTCCACGAAATTTGGTGAAAACTTACCTTTTTATGTCCCAAATACACTGTAATTTATTTGATTTGAAATATTTATTATTTCGCCTTATTTTGACTTAATATCAAAAAAGCACCCTAATTTTCAATCGAAAATTCTCGCGTCAAAATATCAGCTTTTTTCAAAAAGTCGATGTGCTTTTTGTTCGATGAACTCTCTACTTTCTGATGGTGTAAAAAAATATACATTACTATGGTAAATGTTCTCAGAAAATACAAAAAATATTATAATGAAAAACGTAATCAGAATGAAGTATCTAAATTCAATAGTATGATTTACATGTATTTTTATATTTTATGAGATTTTCTGACATAAATGTTATTAGAATTTAATAAATAAACTTTTTGACTAAAAAAATTGCAACAATCACATTTTTTTTATGAAATTGTACATAATGATTAAAATAAATTTTCGAATTCGAGTTTTTTTCGTTATTCATTATAATATTTTTTGCATTTTCTGAGAACATTTGCCATAGTAATGTATATTTTTTACACCATCAGAAAGTAGAGATTTCAACGAACAAAAAGCACACCGACTTTTTGAAAAAAGCTGATATTTTGACGCGAGAATTTTCGATTGAAAATTAGGGTGCTTTTTTGATATTAAGTCAAAATAAGGCGAAATAATAAATATTTCAAATCAAATAAATAACAGTGTATTTGGGACATAAAAAGGTAAGTTTTCACCAAATTTCGTGGAATTTTTTTTTTTTTTTTTAAGAAAAAAACAAAAAACCAAAAACTTGGTTTTTTGAATGTTTCACATAAATTTTGGGGTTATGTAAAAAAATTGTAATTACAAAAGTTGTAGATCCTTTTATTACCTACAACTTTGCCATTTAACTTTTTTCCATAGGACTTGTAGTTTTGCCGGAAATCGAGATAAACCATTTTTTACTCTTAATCCCCCCCCCCTCCCACTTCCCGAAGTCAGATCGCCCGTAATTTATTTTTCCTTTCATTTTTATTATATTCTTCTCCTTTTCCAATGGGTTTCATCCTACTGTTATTTTTTTTGGTTTCAAAAATTATCGACCCTGGTCTAATATTAAAATGTTATTAGAAAAATATAAGATTTTAAAACTATGGTCAAAAACATTTTAAAATAGTGAAAACCTATTTTGTTTAGGCATCGCCGTGGGGGCCGCGATGGCCGGCCTGCGGCCCATCTGCGAGTTCATGACCTTCAACTTCGCCATGCAGGCCATCGACCAGATAATAAACTCGGCCGCCAAAACGATGTACATGTCGGCGGGCCGCGTGAACGTGCCCATCGTGTTCAGGGGCCCGAACGGCGCGTCGGCCGGCGTGGCCGCGCAGCACTCGCAGTGCTACGGCGCGTGGTACGCGCACTGCCCCCGGCCTCAAGGTCGTCTCGCCCTACAACTCGGAGGACTGCAAGGGGCTGCTGAAGGCGTCGATCCGCGACCCCGATCCGGTGGTGTTCCTCGAGAACGAGATCCTCTACGGCGTGCAGTACCCCATGTCCGACGAGGCGCTGTCCAAGGACTACGTGCTGCCCATCGGCAAGGCCAAAATCGAACGACCAGGTAAGCGGGTTTACAATTGTTGTGCATGAGTCAATCCATATGAAAACGCCGAAACTCGTTGATCTACCCTTGTGGACATTTTTCTCAGAGAAAGTCTTACTTTCTCTGAAAAAGTCTGAATAATACTTATTAAGTCGGAAAAAGTCTGAATAAGTCTTATTAAGTCAGACTAATAGCAAGATTTGGGAGTCTTCTGGAAGAGTTAATAAGACTTTTTAAGACTTAATAAGACTTTTAGTAGAGAAATGGTAGGTAGCTACGGAGATAAAAATAAATATACGAAATAATTCATAGAGGTTGTATTTGGTTATCGTAAAATAAAACACATAGAAAAGTATTTACGAAAATACCCGATTTTCGAGTAAACTACTTGCAAACGGCAACACTGTGTCCCACTGACAGGTCAGCTGTGCTCTAATTGGTCAGCTAGCCGAGCTGGTCTCTCGTCATCTAGAAGATTTGTTTGTAACAATGTTTAGATAGGTAAATATTTGCGTGTATCAAAAGAAACTATTAAAATAAAACGTACAGTGGCAACTCCTTTTTCTATGGTGGAAACAATGAAAGCATGCATGTCAAGCACATGGTATGTATAAAATTATAATTGTTATAATTATTACATCTTACCTATGTTATTATATAGGTAATTATGCAATAAACTTGGCTTATAACAACAGCAAAAATGTTAATAAATACTTTTCTATGTGTTTTATTTTACGATAACCAAATACAACCTCTATGAATTATTTCGGATATTTCTTTTTATCTCCGTAGGTACCTACCATTTCTCTACTAAAAGTCTTATTAAGTCTTAAAAAGTCTTATTAAATTTTCCAGAAGACTCCCAAATCTTGCTATTAGTCTGACTTAATAAGACTTACCTATTCAGACTTTTTCCGACTTAATAAGTCTTATTCTGACTTTTTCCGACCTAATAAGTATTATTCAGACTTTTTCAGAGAAAGTAAGACTTTCTCAGAGAAATATTTCCACAAGGGTATGTTGTTGGGTTTTTGAGACCGCCAAAACGTTAACAATGTTCCAGGTAAACACATAACGATCGTGGCCCACTCGAAAGCGGTGGAGACCGCCCTACTGGGCGCCAACGAGTTGGCGGGGCAAGGCATCGAGGCCGAGGTAATAAACCTGAGATCCCTTAGGCCGCTGGACACGGAAACGATCAAGCAATCGCTCGCCAAAACCAACCACTTGATGACGGTGGAGCAGGGTTGGCCCATGTGCGGGATCGGGGCGGAGATTATGGCCCAAATAATGGAAAGCCAGGCTTTCTTCTACCTGGATCAGCCCGCCTTGAGGCTGACGGGGGTCGATGTCCCCATGGCGTACACCAAAACCCTGGAACAACACTCCATTCCCGTGCCCGCAGACGTCGTCTCGGCCGCGAAGAAGTTGTTGAAAGTTCAATAAGTTAAGACCAAACTGCCACTTAATCTGGTTATTTTATAAAGTTTATTTATTTTAATCCTCGCTAGGATGATGGGTGATCTAGTCCCGAAATATGTATGCATTTTAAAAATTTTATATACTTTATTTAAGTCGTTCTACAGGATCAATACCACATCAAATTTTATCCCTGGTCTGTTATATTTTAAGCTGTAAATAAACAAGTTATTATATTATGGTTTTTTTATTATCTATCAACATTTTTAACAAAACAGTTATCAGTTACACTTTCATTATCAAAAAAATAAAAAAAATGTTTTATTTTCAACAAAATCTTATAAATAATATTAAATCCTTCTCCTATGTTTTCTGCTGCTTGGACCAGGTTCATCAGTAACACTTTCATTATCAGTATCATTTTGTGATTGATTATTCACTAAAATAAATAAAAAAATCACTTTATTTTATAGCATGGTGAAGTCATAATTTAGATTTGATTTTTTTTACTTAAGTGTAATTTATAAGTTAGGAAAAATAACTTGACATAACATGTTTTGACTTATTTGACTATGCTACAGAAGTTATTAAAACTTTTTTAAGGATTGTAAAGACCGGTAAAAACCGAAAATTTTATTTCAAAAACGGATAATTAATTAATTAATTAAGACAATATTATGGCACTTCAAAATTCAAATTTGCAAAAATCTGTTTGCCATCTTTTTTAAAGTAGTAATTTTGTAAAAAAAAATATTCAAAGGGCCTTTAGACAGTATTATAAAAGTTTAAAATATAAATTACGGCTCACGTATAAAAAAATACAAAAAAATATTTTTTACAATATATAAAAATTATGTTACAAAAATGTTTAAGTAAAGTATTTATTAAAATCGTGAAAAATGTTAAGTCCTACTTTATAATGTAAAAATTTGTTTCCTTAAAAATGTGTGCAAAAATATTTAACATTCTAAAATATAGGAAAAACTTAAGCAAATCGTTAAAAAAAACAATAAAAAATTTAGAAAATTGAGGTAAATTGTTTGCAATTTGCAATTCTTAAAAAATAATACAAAATTTAAAAAATAAATAGAATTATTTTCTAATAGAAAATAAAAATTATATAAAATCTCAAATGGGTAATAAAAAATTGCATTCTAGAAAATTCTAAAAATAGTATAAAATTTTAAAAATAATGAAAATTGGGGTAAATTATAGGCTCCTAAATCACTTGCTTCAAAATTTGTAAAAATTTAAACCTATTGCAATAAATAACAACACAATTTGTCAAATTCTATTAAATCCTAAAAATTTAAAAAATACAAATTATATAAAATTAATTTAAAAAAAATCTTATTAAATTATATAAAAATAATAAAAAATTCTAATACCTAATAAAAATTATATCAAATCTCAAATAGGTAATAAAAAATTGCAACATTCTAGAAAATTCTAAAAATAGTATAAAATTAAAAAATTATTAAAAATAATGAAAATTGGGGTAAATTATAGGCTCCTAAATCACTTGCTTAAAAATTTGTGAAAATTTAAACCTATTGCAATAAATAACAACACAATTTTGTCAAATTCTATTAAATCCTAAAAATTGTACAAAACTTAAAATAATACAAATTAATTATATAAAATCTCAAATAGATATAAAATATGTGTAAATTTTTCGTCAAAATTTAAGCATAGATTTCAGAAAAAAAACTTAAAAATCTTGTAACAATATATATATTCTATAGAACATTCTAAATTTTTAAAAAACAATTGAAAAATGATTAAAAATAAAGAAAATTGTAGTAAAATGTCAAAATGTAAGCATATTGTAAAACATTAAAAAAAAATATAATTATAATAAAAAATTTAAAAACCTTAAATTGGTAATAAATATATATTCAAAATTTTCGGCAGAATTTAAGCATTATTGGAATAGATTCTAAAAAAGTCAACAATAAAATTTCATTGAAATGTTGAAAATTCTACAAAATTTGAAAAAACACTTGAAAATTATAAAAATTGAGGTAAATTTTAGCTTCAAAATGTAAGCATATCCAGTAAAATATAAAAAACAATATTAATCATTTTTCAATTCAACCTTAATTAAAAAAAAAACTAAAAATTATACCTGAAATATCATCATTTTCTGCTGTTGAATCATCAATCCCACTATTTTCTAAACCATCATTACTTTCCCACTTTAAATCACAACTGGGGCATGAAACCTGATTCTTCAAATACTTTGTGATACAATAACCGTGAAAAACCATCGAACATTTGGAACAAGACTTCCCTATAAAAACCAACTCATTGCACAACTTACACAATGAATTGGGGCAGTGTGACCTCAAATACGAAGTAAACTCGAATATGGTTCTCAAACCAAGATAAACGTGATTCTGATCTTTCACAAAATAACCCCCTTTCACCCACTTATCAAACACAACTTGCCCCTTATCTCGTGATAAGCTCAAAACAAGTGTTGAGGTTAGATTCAAACATACAATGAAAGTAATTCTGTAATTTTCAGAGTTCAGAATTTCCCCTAGAATAGCTTGAAAGTATTCTAAATGAGCTGGAGTAAAAGAAATTTGTAATTTCGCTAAAGCATCGTTTTTGGTATTTAACATTACAATCATTTCCTGATTTGTGACTTCACATGTTCCATAGGTGATTTTTAAGGATTGTTTGCCTATTTCTCTGTTTATTTTTATAACAAGCGACTTTAAGTCGTCAATATCTTTAATGTTGTCTAAAACAAATACGGAATTATTATACACTACAAATTTAATTAACAAGTTACCATTGTCCAATTTTTTGCAATACTTTAAAGCCGCCACTTTATTGCAAACACCATTTTTCAACATGTATTGCAAGAAATATCTGTGTGGATTTTCCATTTTAAACAATAAACATAACCCAAAAAATAAGCGCCAAATATGACATTTATTGTATGCAACCCAGAATACGTATTTTATGCAACCAAAATACGTATAGAGCACAGAAATTTCTGTGGTATAGAGTCAAAATCAAAGATAAAATGTTTAAATTACACTGGTCTACAGCAATTTTGCAACACAACTTTTTCAAGGTTAGTTTTTTTATTAGGAGTTTGATAACGTTAAAAATGTTGGGTTTTTAACTAAACCCCAAAGTTTAGGTAGGTATAAAACATAATTATTCAGCACAAATTAATTATTTCATCATATGCTTTGTTTTTAAAATTTACTTTTGTTTAGAATTTTTTTTTTCTACGACCACTATGTTAAAGTTACATTTCGTAATGGCATCGTTGCTTAGAAAATGAATCTTTTCATTGGCAAGGCAAAACACGAAAGTAAAGTGACATTTCTGTGTGAAAAGAAATTGACAGCATCGTTTCAAAATTTGTATTGTATTTGTATATGTACCTATGTCTAAATATCATTTAGAACACAGTTAATTGTGTTTGTATACTAAATTCTAATTTTTAGTGCCTTTATTTAAATTGAGATGGTAAGTTTACATACCTATCTATATTTTATATTTTAGTGTGTTTTTATGTAATATTTGTTGAATATTTTTATTTTTCTCCTATTTTAACTGCTATGGAATCATGTATTCTTTTTGGGTTTATTAAATAAATGTAAAAACTTACCTTAAAAATTAAAAGAATAAAAGATGAAAGTAATTTTAACAGCTGTCAAACACGTTTTTAGGTTATTTTGTTTTTTATTTGAAAATAATAAAAAAAAAAGTGTCGTAGAAAAAATATTGCGCTTCACATGTGAGAAAAGCTTTCTCAAGCTCGTGAGCAACTTAAACACTTGAACACATGAAAAATTCACTTTTCAACACTTGTAAAACAAATAGCATTTTTACTTAAAATTCCATTTAGGTAAATGAAAATGTTAAAAATGTTAGAAATGTTAAAAAATTAAGGCATTTAGCAAGTGTACCAATTTTAAATATCAAAAATATCAAAGTAACAATCAAATGTGTCAAATTTCGAATAAAAAAAGTAACTTTAATTATTTCCTTCAAATTGTGTGTAAAATATAAGTATTTTGTAATAAATTCTAAGCAAAAAACTAAAAATCTTGTTAAATTGGAAGAAAATCTAAAAATTTGTATTTTGAATCTATGCAACCCAGAATACGCTTTAGAGTTATGGGTTTCAACGGTAAATAAAAAACACTATAGGCATATTATCTATTTATTTAAAATACTTTGGATAGGTAATACAAAGAGTAAAACTTATTAGTAACATATTTCAACTTTGGTTTGTAGGTTTCTGCCATCGTTGCGTCTTTGTTACATGCATCGTTGCCATATCAAACTAACTCTAAACATCCAAATGTTTTATTAAACATAATTATACAGGGCGACATTTTTATGGGGTTTGTTGGTTTTGAAAATGGCACCCTGTACACCTAAATATGTGGCGAACTATCCAAAAAAATAAATACATTGGTATGATGTAGTTTATTGAATTAGGTGTATTGCTGTAATTTATAAGGTATTGCCATTTCATTTTGATATGCTGTATTTTAAATATTAGGTTGCATTAAAATTCGCAAGAAAAAGAAATAAAAATCCATCGTTTTTTGATATGTTCAAAAGTGATATTTGATAAAGTACACCATACAAGAAATAAATTATAATGTGCACTACATAATTGAATCCTATCTACTTCTAAACATTAATAAATTCTAGGTATATAAAATAAATAGGTAAATTAATTTAAGCATCCTATACTTTTCACAAGCTTTTTTTATACGTCTAGGTATTTGGAATAATATATTTTTACCTACTTATGAGAAATATCAAAATATCATCTTTTCCTTTTTCTGTCATTTACAAACGATAATATTATCTATTTTATCACAATACTTCAGTAACTTTACATACATTCTGCCACTACAACCTTAAATTCATTTTATACATATACAATTTTAAACACAATAAAGTATTATTATAATAATATAATTTCCTCTTTGTTGTTGGACCAGGCATACCAGTGGCGGCCCGTCAGGTGAGGCCTCATCATAGAGAATTAAAAAATTAAGTATAATTTAAATATTTTACTTTCTATAATATACTATAAATTTTTAATATTTGGATTAAATGAATTGTGAAATAGTCAATAAAATTGATTGATTTTATACGTGGAATACCCAGCAACATTTAAAATATTTGAATTAGATAAATTATACTTCACACGTTTTTCAAAATTCAATAATAAATGGTGTTATTTTTCTTATAATAAATCGATTTAATCGAAATTATATTTCTATTCTAAAATAAACATTTTAACACTATCGCCATCTTGTAGCCATCACAGTAACCAATAAAATAAATACAGATTCCTTCTTTAGGTTTGTTTTGGTTATAAAATTCTGAACTGTTTAAAGAACAAATCTGTGGTTATTTACGACATAATTTTTTTATTCTTTTTCTATGAGTTTGTCTATTTTTTGATTCTTTTGTAAGTGGTTTATTCTGTGGGTTTAGTTAATTGAACTTGGTGATTTATGTGAATTTAGTCATTATGGATATTACGGTGATAAATTGTTGCCGATATTGTTGACCTTCACGTGATTCTTGCTGAACAATGAAATATTAATTAGACAAAAATTAGGTTTAATTAAAATAAACGTCATTTTTATAAAAAAAAATCTTGAGGGCGAAACTCTGCCTCTGCCTCACCAAAATGAAATGTCACGGGCCGCCACTGATGCATACAGGACTACCCAAAAGTACCTGATACATATAAATATATAGTGTTTCTAGAGTGCATGACTTACACACATACAACATTAAAATGTAAATCTTGCTTCTTTCTTTTGATTAAATAAAACTTACCATATGTATCATATTGGTTCAAAGTTTGTAGGTATATGATTTTTTTAAAAAGCCTGTTACAGTAGGTATCTGCTTATAAGCTATAGCAGTGACTAATTATATAGTATAGGCTATATAGCCCGTGGGTGAGCCTTAAAAGTCAAATTTCCTAAACAGTTGATGTTTTTTGTCTTTAACTTAAAAACGGTTGACTTTAGTTTCCCACATAAAAGGTTATATAAATATAATCCCTAAAATTAATATTTTAAGAGATATATATCAAAATTTAAAATTTTAACAAAATGTCAAAATTAGTAATATTGACAATTTGTACTCTATATTAACCCTTAAAACATTTTTTTAATTGTACCAAGTACTTTTGCGTCACCCTGTAATAAAAGGATTAAAACATTAGGAGGTTCTAAAAGAGCTAATAACAATACTTGGTCTCCTAATTTAAAAAAAGTGATCATATGGTCATATAAATATAGAAAAATTAATTTAAGTGGAAATTCAGGAAATCGCCATACAATGTATTTTTAAGTACCTATAGGATATAATATAATATACAGGGTGAGTCATTTAACTTAAAACTTTGAAATATCTCAGTTAGTATGCACTTTACGAAAAAATGTTTAAAATAAAAATTAAATGATTCGAGGCAGAAATCAATCAGTACTAAAATTGGTCCTCATACTCTTCTCCTTATAGGAGGAACAGGGGGTAACTTTAAAATTTCCAATGCAGATTGGGATCATTTGACTAAAAATAGGTAGATTTTGTCTAAAACATTTTTTTATATTTGTAGCAGATAGCGCTGTAATGAAAAAAAATCAATTTTGTTCGATTTTTCTTCTTATACGATTCTGCAATAATTTTTCAATAAAAATATCACTTTTTTGGTAATAATTATCTTATTAAATTAAATCTGATTGTTTTAAGTACCCACGATTTTTTAACTAATATTTAAGTTTTATACATTATTTCATTCGGTGATAATTATCAATTGCGCACCATGGTCACTTTTTACCTGCCAGCATTAAATCCTTTAATTTTAAGGATTATTGTACTATTTTTAATAAAAATACCTTATTCAAGGAAAAAAACATTATTTTGTCAATTAATTAATTTAATCATAATTGAGGTATAAAAACATGGTATTTAGTTATAAATAATAATTATTATTGAGGTTAAAAGAAACTATTTAAACATAGTTTAGCATTATTTAATCAATTTAGTTCCAAGATTAATTTGCAAACAAAAAGATCTCCTTTCGTTAAGCAGTTATTCATAAAGGATTTTTTAACAGTGGAAGAAAAAATAGAAATGATTTTGATTTATGGAGAAGCAGGCAGGAATCTTGATGATGCTGTTAATATCTACGCTCAGCGTTTCCGGTAAAAATTCGATCACCTACTTCATTTCACCGTACAGTCAAGCAGTTTACTACAAACGGGAATGTTCAACCGAAAAAAAGAGTTCGTCGAACAACCTATTTTAATTAAAATTTAAAAAATAAATAAATTTAAAAAATAAAACCAAGTATTTTATTCAAAAATTATTGGAGAATCGTATACAGAAAAAAAATTGATCAAAATTGATTTTTTACAGCGCCATCTATTACAAATAGGAAAAAATGTTTTAGACAAAATCTACCTATTTTTAGTGGAATGATCCGAATCTGTAATAAAAAATAGGGTGTTCCATTGGAAATTTTGAATTTACCCCCTGTTCCCCTTATAAGAAGGAGAGTATGAGGACCAATTTTAGTACTGATTAATTTCCCCCTCGAATCATTTAATTTTTATATTAAACATTTTTTCGTAAAATGCATATTAGTAGTAGATATTTCAAAGTTTCAAGTCAAATGACTTATAAGTCATTATAATATATTATAGGTACTGTGCTGTTTTGAAACAATACAATCTAATATTTAACCCTAAAAACATGACCTGAATTTTGCTTTTATAAAGAATTTCTTAAAAAAAATTATTCTTGGAAACTTTAAACCCCCAGAATATGCAACACATAATTTTTATTGTCCATATTTAATTTGCAATTTTGATTTTTCTAAAAATTTTGGATCAAAAAATTTCTGACTAAAGTCATCTTAAGAGATTTATAAAACGAAGTGCACGCAACGAACGAAAAGTGTTTTTTTTTAAATTTAACCTCACTTTTTACCAATATGACAGATGTCAGATTGGAATGAGTTTTTTTTCTTCGAGCCATGCACATGCTCTATGAAGTAGTTTGAAATATAAGTGACTCTTTAACACTGGAAGGACAAAATTTGAATCCCAGCACAAAAATAACTATTGATTATATACAATATACATCAGATTAAATAAGTTACAAGTAATGATGAAAAAGAAATTATGGGTGTTTGTAAAAAGTAGTGTAGGTAATACCTACCCACAAAACAAATGTGTTTCATAGACATACTATGAATGGATAAGTGACATACTATAAATGAATATGGTAAAAATAATGGTAGAAGGATTAGGAAACAATGAAAAATATTATAAATGACGTCAACTGTTGGAAATATAAATGCATAAGAAAAAAAAACAAGACATAAATTATTAAACAAATTAAATAACTGGATTCTTGTTACCTAGTAACGTTTGCTGTGTGATGCGTGTTTTTTAGACCAGCGTATTCTTTAATGCGGATTTGGATGGTAATGTAACAGTGACCGGCAAAGTACACTTACAGGCAAAATAATCGATCCACACAAATTTTCGATGAATTTCAATCGCAAATAACTTTTTTATTTGATTTCGGATTTAAACAAATATTAAAGAATATTGTAGATACATTAATGGAGAATCGCTCACATTTTAAAAATTACTAAAAAATACACGTACGTTTATAATATACAGGTTTAAACAAAAATATGTTTTTTACCATAAGTTTAAGACACTCTATAGAGTGGCAAAACCGTATATTGTTCTAAATTAAGTTTTAATTGAAATAAAAAGGATTTTTCTTTTTTGTATGATCGTGTATTGTGAAAGTTTTAATTTGCAGAGCGCTTTCGGCCTTAAGCCATCTTCAGTGCTTCAACTGATAAGTAAAACAGGAATTAGATTAAATAACATTGAATTTTTTTTTTTTATAAAAACTTACTTGTCAGTTGACAGGAGTATATGTCTATGTTCATTTTTATTTGTTTACAGCTACTCAAAATAGTACTATACATATAACCCACAGATATGCTTATATTATACAAAAATCTTCATTAGTGTGTTTAAAATTACACTAGGTTAGGTGTTTTTGATGACAGATGATCAATTTCCCGCTTTTATTGACCGTAAATATATACAAAAATTAGCAAACTTTTCTGTAAACAACAGATTCCTCCCATGCCCAACAGGTGGTGTAACGAACATTAATTTTAAACACTCAAGTCAACCTCAATAGAGACTTTATACCTTTACACAAATATGTCATGGATTAAAATAAATAAATCCTAATTACCTAGGTTGTTTTTATGTTCGGAGTTTTTCACGATGGTTTTTTAATATGAGTTAGTTATCTTGGGGAGCGCATTTCTGGATTTGAATTTAAAATTAATGTTCGTTACACCACCTGTTGGGCATGGGAGGAATCTGTTGTTTACAGAAAAGTTTGCTAATTTTTGTATATATTTACGGTCAATAAAAGCGGGAAATTGATCATCTGTCATCAAAAACACCTAACCTAGTGTAATTTTAAACACACTAATGAAGATTTTTGTATAATATAAGCATATCTGTGGGTTATATGTATAGTACTATTTTGAGTAGCTGTAAACAAATAAAAATGAACATAGACATATACTCCTGTCAACTGACAAGTAAGTTTTTATAAAAAATTCAATGTTATTTAATCTAATTCCTGTTTTACTTATCAGTTGAAGCACTGAAGATGGCTTAAGGCCGAAAGCGCTCTGCAAATTAAAACTTTCACAATACACGATCATACAAAAAAGAAAAATCCTTTTTATTTCAAAGAATAACGTGTACTCAGTCACAACTCCATTTAAGTTTTAATTATCAAGTCACATATATTTTTAACACTTTTGTTGTTGGTACACTTTGATATATTTATTTTCGTGGAAAATATGGATTTTTTAAAAAAAACTTTGCAATTTCCAATATTTTTTCTGTATGAAAAACTAAGGTTACTATGGTCCATCCATAGCCTATGGAGGATGACAGTGACAGTTTTGTTGAATCATCCCATACTTGGACATGTCATATACAGCTTTCAAAAGCTATGAAATTTTTGTGAATTAATGTGTTACTTTTAAGGTGTCTTCTTACTTTTAAAAATGCCTCCGGCTGATGTTGCCCTTTGTACTTTACTTCTTGTGACGTTTAAAACACTTGCCACGTAATACTGGATTAAATTAATGGTTCTGGCAACATCAGTCGGAGACATATCCATTTTTTAAAGTAAGAAGACACCTCAAAATTTAAACATTAATTTGCAAAAAACAATTTGATAGCTTTTGAAAGCCGTGTATGACATGTCCAAGTATGGGATGATTCAACAAAACTGTCACTTAGTTCTTCATCCAGAAAAATATTGGAAATTTCAATGTTTTTTAAAAAAATCCATATTTTCCAAAAGAAATATATCGAGGTGAACCAAAAACAAAACTTTTAAGAATAGATGTGACTTGATAAATAAAACTTAATTTAAAACAATATACGGTTTGCCACTCTACAGAGTGTCTTAAACTTATGGTAAAAAACATATTTTTGTTTAAACTTGTATATTATAAATTTTTAAAATAAATATCTACAATATTCTTTAAAATTCGTTTAAATCCGACATCAAATAAAAAAGTTATTTGCGATTGAAAATCGTCGAAAATTTGTGTGGATCGATTATTTTGCCTGTGATTGTATTTGAATCTGCAAAAAAAGAGGGGGCACACATTTTTTAATTAATTTCCATACTTTTGCCGGTCACTGTATACGAGTATCATGGAGGTGGAAAAATTCATTTCCCGTATTATTAAAAATGAAAATTTGTTTGAATGAGTTTTTCACGCTGAAATGTTGGGTTTAGTAATCTTATATTAGTTTAAAACCGTTTTCGAAATGACATCTCCATTGTTATTGTCTTTGTTTTTTTGTATTTCCCATACACAAACTAGTCCGAATCAGCCTTGACCTTGGAAATGTTTGAAGTATTAAAAACACAAAGAGTTAAGGTATAAATTAGCTCTAACTACCCCTACGACAGTCCTATTGAACCCTTTTTTTTAAAGTGTACCTACCTACAGATTGGTGTGTGGTATAAATGTGTTCCTCATGGTTTAAACATTGTTACTTTAATGCGTTTTAATTTTAATACTGAAAACAAACAGTAAAATGGCCAGTGTCCAATTACTGGTTGGTAAAAAATGTAAATTTCTATTATTGGACATATGTCCAATATCATACCCTATTTGTATCCCAGACATTTACCAACCATTTCTTATGTAAAATTGTCCCCTGAATCCGAAAAGACCGTCAAAAACTATAAAAGTAAAGTAGTTTTTGAGATATAGTCAATTTCATATTATATGTTAAATTGATTATATTTCAAAAACTGTTCTACTTTTATAACTTTTGACGAAATTTTCGGATTCAGCGAATAATATTTCATAGGAATTGACTGCTAAAAGTCCTGGATACAAATTGCTGTTGACGAAAATTATTAGTGGCTGCTTTTTCGCCATGAGATTTTTGACTAATTCATTTTTAAGAGTAAGTAATATAGTAATTTCTTCGTCACAGGACATCTTGCAGTGATTTAAATACAGTGCATGCATCTATCATGATAGAGAACATGAAAAACTAATGGCAAAAAAATTAATAAATTCGGATAATACTTTTAACGTACCCGAAAAAAATTAGATATAAATATATAAATCATCCTGTTCCGACCTAAACATTATAAATGCTTCACAAACTAGAGATACCACCCTTAATGATATTTGCAACAAACTATTTCAGAAGTCAGACCAAGGAATTAGTAGTTACCTTCAGAAAGAAATATATGAATTATATGATATTTACAAAAACGAAATAAAAAAATTACCTAAAACAGCAATTTATCTTTAAAAAATATTTAACAATTTATGTTATTTGGTGTAAAGTTGTTATGTTTATATAAAAATTGTATGTCCAATAACTATATAAAATGTCCAATTACTATACTTTTTTGCATGTTTTTATAAAACTAATATTAAAAATTCAAATATTCTTATTTTTAAGTAAACGTAAATAAAGTTTAAACAAACAAAGTGTCCAATAACTATATGGTTTCCCCAGTAGTAGTCTACTTACGAATTCTGTATTAAAACACTGATTGTCTATGAATAAATATTGTTATTAGCCCTTTAAAACATCAATACACCTACCTTACACTTACTAACGTTACCACCAAATTTTAATATACACGCAATTTAATCCTATCTACCTAGCTAGCTAGTCATTAAAATGAATTATTATTGTACTTTAACTGATATTTGTCTCTATAGGCAGTTGAATCATATCAGTTAAGCGTAACACCTTTAAATTTAAGTTATTGTTTCTATATATACCTAAAACATGCACCTATCAAATATTATTATAGTTCAGCAGCAGCTTTTTTAAATACCCATTACTGATATCTAAATGATTCAAATCTAAGTCTAACATCAAAAAACAACCCAAGGGACTCGAACGGAAAAATGTAAACACAGAGGGGAGTTTAAGACACGCTCAGGTGAAGCTGACGACAATTTAAAGCTGTTATTACCACAAGCTTCTTAACCAGACAAAATGACTTCCACAACAAAGAACACGCTAAGCTCAGATGATCTGAGCGACAAATGCAAATTCGCGATTTGTTAAAGTCGAGAAACCAAATCCACGTGGTGGGTCCATTTCCAGGACTTAGACACCCGTATTGTTGTAGATGTACGACACCGCGTTATCAGTTATTGGAGGAATTTTTCTTGTGGACGAGTTGTTGTTGTAGAAGTGGGAGGATTTTCTCATGCTAGTGGAGGATGACATCATGGCGACTGTTTCGTAGTAATGCAACCTGCCGCAACATCTGCGACTCTTTATTATGGCCAGAAAACCTCGCCTGTACTTCTTGTTGAAGAACGCATAGAGTATGGGGTTGATGCAGGAGTTAGAAGCCCCCAGCCACTGCGCTATAGGGGTGGCTATGGGAAGAATCTCCTCCTCCCACGATTCTATATCTCCCCCCAACTTTATCCTGGCGAAGATGACGTACAACGGCAACCAGGAGACCACGAACAGAATAACAACGGCGACTAGCATCTTCACGACTTTGACCTTGGACTTTTGCTGCATCCGCTCCATCTGCGCGTCCTTGGTGTCGGTGGGTATGTTCCTCTTCCACACCTTGATCCAGATGAGCACGTAGCACATGGTGATCAGGATCATGGGCAGTATGTAGCAGAAGACCATGTTGGCGATGAGAAAGTAGAGGGCTCCGTTCATGGAGTCCGGCCAGACCTCGATGCAGAGTTGCACGTCGGGGGCGTCGCTGAAAATCACCACCAGGTCGAAGAATATCGCCCAGGGGATCGTGGTGGTCAGCGCCACGCCCCATATGAGGATGATCATTATTCTTGCGCGACGTTTCGTTATCTGGCAGCGCAGCGGCCACCATATCGCCAGGAATCTGCAACAAATTTGAATAACTTTAAACGAGGCCCAAGTAGCATTACAGTGACGAAAACTGATATCACTACTCAAATGAGTAGAGAAATAACTAAATCTACCAAGATACAGTTAAAATATCTCCATATTATATTAGGGTCGTTTTCAAAAAATACCCGCCTTCCGCTCGCTGTCTGTAAGTTTGAATTCCAATAACTTTGTTAAAAATTATCGGATCTTATTCATTTAAAAACCAAGTGAAAGCCTAACAAGCCCTTAGTTAACTCTTTTTTAAATATTGAATATCCAGAACTTTGTGTTGCTTTATAGCAATCCATAACATCCTTAGTTAATAAAGTAAACAATTTATATATAAATGAATTAATTTTAATCTACTTTTTTTAATTTGACTCATGTCCCAGACATTTTTTCCGTTGCGTTACGTCCGTCGCGTTACCGATAGAATATTAAAAAAAAAACATATATATGGCAACTTTTTTGGCACTCACGTGATTAACAAATGATGTTCGGACGTTCACATTACCCAGCTGAATTTATTTATTCAATCAGGAAGAAGATATCGGCTGAAACAGGTGCGGGTAACGCGAATGTAATAATTGTTTGTCCGCTAAGTTACTCAAAAAAATAATAAAAATAAGGTAAGAAAAAATACTATTTTTCATGTTTATGTTTATTTTGGGGCACTAAAGCTCATTGAGAGTAATTAATGACTGTAATGTTTTATTATTATTTTTTAAATATGGTTTCACAAAACTTTGTCCACTGCGTTACCGAGTCCATTACGTTACCTTATGGTAACGCAATGGAATTTAGGGTAACGCAATAGAATTTTTCGACAACAAAGTGGATATTTACCGTCGCTTTTATTAAAAGTAGTTTATGATAAACCAATTTAAAATTATTTGTGATTACAACTCATGATATAGATTACATCCAAGGGAAAATTCCACGCAATACACAAGTACTAAGACACCAGCTCAAAGAAAAAGGGTGTCTACAATTTAGAAATCTAAGTTGACAACTTAAAGTTGTTATTCTGCAAGTGAGCACCACTACAAGGGATTTTGTTTATGCATTACTCTAAAATCGTACCACCCTATATTATATATGATTAAGTCCTTTGTGTACCCCAGTCCGTTGTGACACCAATGTCTATTTCGTTACTTTTTTTAGTTTTTGTTAAAAAAAAATCCTTAAAATGATTTTACTATCTTGAAAATACAAAAAAAGTGCTCTTTTAGTTCCACCCTTACTTCTTAAGAAGTCCCATAAGCCAACTGAATGGCTTGTGCGGGTTAGGGGTAGGAACGGACCGAGGGCTTAAAGTCGCCTCCGAAGGACCAATACACAATAGGACAACACAAACCTGTTTATAAATTAGAGTTTTTTTAACAAAGAATCGGAATGGTGTCTTTTAAAAAGTAACTTAATTAACATAAACATTTAAAAAAGGCATACAATTTTTAATAAAAAATAAAATTGGAGTCAAAAGTTTGTGAACTAAGTACATTTTATTTCAAATTATTATTATATTATATAATTATTACAACTTTTTTTATTGAATTAAATTTTGGATTTCACAGTGGAGACATATAAAGCTAGCTAAACACATTTTTCTGAAAAAAACAGACATGTTTACAAATAATCGCCATTGTATGGAAATAAATTTGTAGTTTTAAACAAAGAATTCTGGTTATTACCGCACCATATTTAACACGTTAATATATATTTATTGGTTTTAGGTGACCAGAAATAATAAAAAAATATTTTAGGCATCTAGATAAATAATTTTCATATCCGCTTAGTTTATACATTTTTTTTATTCTTTTTATTACCACATATTTCAACAGGGCGTGCTTATATTTCAAGCTAGGAAACCCATGTATAACAGTAAAATTAAATTCCTGTTAATTGTGTCTTTGGATTATTTTAATTCCAGTTATTATTTGTAGTTTAAGTTGTACTCTTACAATATTATAATTCAGTGTTAGTTTAATATCCAGTCAGAGAAAGCAAAGATAATAAGATACATAATATGCTGAAAAGAGACGGGGATAGAAAGTAAAGATTAGTAAAGTTTTGGCCACTATACCTCCACGTTATAGTAACGTAATTACAACGTGGTATTAACGTGTCTGTATACAATTCAAGAACGTCGTTGAAACGTAACTAACACTAAAAAAGTCTTCCCCATTTTAGTCACTTCCACGTAAGATTTTGGCAATATACTTTACAGTTCCAAGTATCAATTTTTGCATATTTCTTCAGTGTTAATCCCAAAGAACATTAGATATTCCTAGAATATTCCCCGCATAAACTTTTTTGAACATTGGAATATGCTTTAAAGATTTTCAGAATATATACATGAATTTTGGAATATTCTCAGAAAAGTCCGATGGGATTAGTCAGATATTCTAAGAATATTTCTTTGTGAATGTTCCAAGAATATTCCAGGAATATTTAACTATAACTCACCAGGAACATTCCCTTAAAAATATTCTTGGCATATTCGGGATATACCAGGAATATTCAAGCGATAATCAAATATCATATACCTGGAACTGGAACATTTTCTTGAGAACAAGCATAGCATGTTTTTAGCAGTTCTGAATATGACGATTGTTTTTTGGTTATTCCTGTTATATTTGGGATAAGCGCGAAACGAGATAGAACAGACCTTGTTGTGTGGATGTGTATCCACACGATATTATCTTTGGTTTTATCAACCTTAGAATTTGGCATATTAACTACATTGACAAAGTTCGGCTTTGTTGGTGCTAGTGTGCGGATCGCTCAATAAAAAGTATGAAATGTAGATGACTTTTCGACCTAGTAGGGACAAAATTAGATTCCGGGTAAGATATATACCTGTATTTTTTAACAATATCGCAAGCTGAGACCTTTTGGCCACCAAGGAAGAAGAAGACTACATTGAAATAAAATAATTAAAATTTGAACAAAAAAATCTCAGTAATTTATTTACTTATTATTAATTTATTAACTAATGTGCAAAATTAAACCAACACTTTTTCAAAGATCTATAAAATTTGAATAAAATAGTCCAGAAAGTTCTGCTTTGGATATTTTGTAGCTTAAAGTTTGCTAAACAAGTTAGGCAAAGTTTTCTACAAAAATTAGTGCAAAAAGTATATCGATCTTTATAAAAATATTTGTCTACTCCCACCTTTAAAACGCCCTTTATCGTACATGTTTCCATGACACTCACGGGCTGAAGTTAGCAACAGGTCTTTAGTCACGGGCTGAAGTTAGTTTTAAGTTAGTTGACAGTTGTCAAATGTCATACAATCGTTAAAATAAAGTACCTTTGTTGTAAAATAATAAATGTTAAAATTATTTTATTACCTCAATACAAAAATACAAAAGTATTAAATAGTTTCTCAACGCCAATATTTGAAAAGTTTATATGAACATTGTACTGACCTTTTAATTTCGCCGGCAGTAAACTATAACTTAAATTCGGGCACGGACTCCACTGTAAAGTGCTCATAAAACATTTTCTTTACTTTCACTGTGAAAAACTGTCAATTTTCAAGAAATACATTTCGATTTATAACCTTTATACTCTGTGTTTATAAAATATAAAAATTTGACATTTGACAGTGACACACAGATTCCCCTATTGTTTCATAGATGGCGCTCTATACAAATTTTTGATTTAAATCATTTTAAGATAATAATAAGTATTTTTCGTAGAAAAAGTATAGTATGCACCTCGTTTATAAACTTTTCTATAAACTCAATAAATTAAATTCTTGTATAAAATGGCGTTTATCAAACTTGATACATAATATACTATTAAAAACAAAAATACAACCGCTTTTACAAATAACACATTTTTTTGTTCCATACATGATAAATATCAACTCTTATAATGGGAAACTAAAAGTACATCCTTCTCATTAGCGATGCCTTGGACATGTCGAGATTTATTTTACCATTCAATAAATATTGTTGTAAATAGACTGGAAAAAATACTGCCTCACCAGAATAGCCATTCATTGAGATTTTACAAGTACATAGAAAAACGATTTGATTAAAGACTTATATTGCATGAGACGTGGCCTTGGCCCAGAATATATGTCACATAAATGCAATTTACTATGTATTTTATAGCGTGATTTTTCCACTGAATAAAACGCAATATTTCCTATGAAAGAAGGAAAACACTTTTACGATATTTTCGAGAGGTATTTAATTTAAATCAAGCTTAGGCAAACAAATCTGTTTATGCGAATTGTATTTCTATTCAAAGTTTATACGGTATTTTCACGCAAAAGGTATACACTGCGTGATGACTGCATCCGAACGCCTTGAAAAAGATTGGAGATATTAGTATTAAATATAAGTAAAACTTAAAAATTTAAATTTAATACAAATAAAAGTTGCACTGTTCAAAATTTCATGACCATTTTAACACCAATTTAACACCATACATGGTCTATCGATACAAACCAAAATTGTGTTAAATATGGTTCGTTGGTAGGTACAGTGTAAATTCAAATACTAAAATAGTGTAAATTTAACTTTCACACTGTATTAAAATAAATTTTACCTGGTGTAAATTGAACTCCTTTTCAGTGTTAAATATTTCTGTTCAAATTAAATTATACTACACAGAAATAAAGGAAAAAAAGGAACAGGAAGTTCCTTGACGCATTACTAGTATATTACCAGTGGTATTATTCCAGAAAATTGAACTCGCTAGAGATAATGTTTTTAGTGCGTTCCACCAACTTAATATACAAGTATTGACAGCTGTTTCCACCTATTTAAGGTCTCTTTAGTATCGAACAACTTGTAGTGTCACACCAAAGCAAAGGACTACCTGAGCTTATATACTCTTCATGTAAGTCAACAGAGGCGAGATTTAAGAACATCACGTGATCCACACCGCCTTTGCCGCGATCGGTACACACTATGCA